CACGTTTCCTGGGGAGTAGCCTGGAATTTAAAGTTGGGTGCAGGTTTTAGAAAGCTGTTGCTGTTAACAATAATTTTCCCCACCATCTCCACTCCTCTACTCAAACATGACTGACTCCTTACTCAGAGGAGCAATGATGTCTTCTCGTCCCTTTCCTACAGCCATTTTCTTGCTTTTCCACAAAGGTATTATTGAAAGTGGGATATTTTTGTAACTGGGAGACCAATGAGCTTTTCTGTCTTTTCCTGACTTGTTAAGGTTTATGGGTTTCTAAATCTAATAACTACGGCCATACCACCCTGAACACACCCGATCTCGTCTAAATCTAATAACTGGTGTCATGGAATTTTGAGTAATCAAAGATTCACTCCAGTCTCACTTAAAAACATACATTCTGCGGGGCACAGTGACTCATGCCTGTAATCCCAGCACTTTGGGAGGCCAAGGCAGAGAGATCACTTGAAGTCAGAAGTTTGAGACCAGCTTGGTCAACGTGGCAAGACCCCGTCTCTACTAAAAGTACAAAAATTAGCTAGGCGTGGTGGCGTGTGCCTGTAATCCTAGCTACTTGGGAGGCTGAGGCATGAGACTCACTTGAACCTGGGAGGTGGAGGCTGCAGTGAGCGAGATCGTGCCACCGTACTCCAGCCTGGGTGACGGAGGGAGACCCTATCTTAAAAAAAAAAAAAAAAAAAGATAGGTGAAAAGAAAAAAAACAAATTGTAATTGTAAACATTTCTGCCCAGTGCCTTTATATTAATATATATAACATTTTCACTGTGACCAGGCTTGATGATATTCAAGTTTTCTATTTGTGTGTGTGTGTGATGAACAAAAATGTACGCCTTTTTTTCCCTATTATAAAAGTGATATTGAAATATGCTAATTGATATAATTTTAGTTAAATGCTGCTAATATGCATACCTCTTACTTGAAGGTTTTTATATGTTTTGATAACTTTAATAACTTCAGGTGATGTCTGTATAATTTTTAAAGTGCAGCTCTCTCTAACAAACGTGACTTACAACTCCTGATTAAATGGTTTCTTGAAGGTTTTAAAATGTGGTCGTGTATACTGGAATTCAAAGAAGCTTCCTGTCAGCAGTCAAGTGATGATGGAAAACTGTAACAGTTTGTAAAGTTCTTTGCCTTTTCCTAAAATGAGAGAGAAGAAAGAAGTGTTGAATGTAGTCCTCAGATGAGTGCTTTTAAAGCTCGTTGGCTCTGTTGAAGCCAAGGAGGGTGTATGTGTGTAATTGCCCAACTGGTTCATTTTGCCCGCTGCCTGGATACAGTCCATTCATCAAGACAGATGAATTGCAACAGAGAAAGAGTTTAATTCATGCAGAACTGGCTAAACAGGAGATCAGAATAGTATTACTCAAATCAGTCTCCCTGAAATTTTGGAAACTGGGTTTTGTGTGTCTGTGTGTGGTTTTTTTTTTTGTGTTTTTTTTTTTGAGATGAAGTCTTGCTCTTGTCGCCCAGGCTGGAGTGCAATGGTGCGATATCGGCTCACTGCAACCTACGCCTCCCAGGTTCAAGCAATTCTCCTGCCTCAGGCTCCCGAGTAGCTGGGATTATAGGCATGTACCACTACACCCGGCTAATTTTGTGTTTTTAGTAGAGACGGGGTTTCTCCATGTTGGTCAGGCTGGTCTCAAACTCCTGACCTCAGGTGGTCCGCCTGCCTCGGCCTCCCAAAGTGCTGGGATTACAGGTGTGAGCCACTGTGCCCGGCCATGTGCGTGTTTTGTTTCGTTTTGTTTTTGAGATGGAGTCTCACTCTATTGCCCAGGCTGGAGTGCAGTGGTGTGATCTCGGCTCACTGCAACCTGGGTTCAAGTGATTCTCCTGCCTCAGCTTCCCAACTATCTGGGACTATAGGTGTGCGCCACCATGCCCAGCTAATTTTTGTACTTTTAGTAGAGATGGGGTTTTGCCCTGTTGACTGGGCTGGTCTGGAACGGCTAACCTCAAGTGATCCTTCCACTTCGGCCTCCCAAAGTCTGGGATTACAGGCGTGAGCCACCGTGCCTGGCGGAAACTGTTTTTTTATTTTTAATGGATAATCTGTTGGGTAGGGGGATGGAATTAGGGAATAGTAAGCATTTTTGTTTTTCAAATTTTGTTTTGCCATTATAAAAATACTTGTTTTTTATAGCAAATACAGAGACCAGCAAAAGCAACAGAGAAAAAAAGTTAAAAAGCACCATTTATGGGCACCCCTGTTAATCTTGGCAAAATTCCTTTAAAGATAGAAAGTACAGAGGGAGGGAAATAGGACGGAGAAAGAAGGAAAGAACTTTGGTATTCTCATTTCTTTTTCGCGTAATATGTGTTTTCTTTTTCTTTTTTTTTTTTTTTTTTGAGATGGAGTCTCGCTCTGTGGCCCAGGCTAGAGTGTAGTGGTGCGATCTCGGCTCACTGCAACCTCCACCTCCCAGGTTCATGCCATTCTGCTGCCTCAGCCTCCTGAGAAGCTGGGACTACAGGCACCCACCACTGTGCCCAGCTTTTTTTTTGTATTTTTAGTAGAGACGGGGTTTCACCGTGGTCTCGATCTCCTGACCTCGTGATCTGCCCGCCTCGGCCTCCCAAAGTGCTGAGATTACAGGTGTGAGCCACCGCGCCCGGCCATATGTGTTTTCTTGAAGAATCTAAAGATAGTGTTTTCTCCTGTTATTAAAAGCTTTTACAAATATTTCAATGGGCTACATAATATCATACAGTTAGATCTTTTTCTTTTTTTCTTTTTTTTTTTGAGCCAGAGTCTCACTCTGTCACCCAGGCTGGAATGCAGTGGTGTGATCATGGTTCAGTGCAGCCTCAGCCTCCTGGGCTCAAGTGATCCTTTTAGCCTCACAAGTAGGTGGAATCACTGGCACACACCACCATGCCTGACTAATTTTTAAAATTTTCTGTAGAGATGGGATCTCACTATGTTGCCCAGGCTGGTCTTAAACTCCTGGGCTCAAGTGATCCTCTCTCCTCAGTCTCTCAAAGTGTTGGGATTACAGGCGTGAGCCACTGCGCTCGGACACAATGTTTTGATATTCAATTGTTGCTTAACATTTTGTTTCCAAATTTTCCCAGTAATAAATAATGGGCACATTTATAAATCTTTGTCAACATTTTTTCCCCTTAGAAACAGACATAGGCCAGACGCGGTGGCTCACACCTATAATCCCAGCACTTTGAGAGGACAAGGTGGGAGGATCATTTGAGGTCAGGAATTTGAGATCAGCCTGGCCAACACAGCGAAACCCAGTCTCAGCTGGGCGTGGTGGTGTGTGTACTTGGGAGGCTGAGGCAGGAGAATCGCTTGAACCCGGGAGGAACAGGTTCCAGTGAGCCAAGATCTCCCCCATTGTACTCCAGCCTGTGTGACAGAGTGAAACTCTGTCTAAAAAGAACAAAAACAAAAAATAAAACAAAAAAGGAAACAGAGACCTAGAAGTGGGATTACAGCAAAGGTTTTGAACATTTTAAGGCTTTTGAGAGCCAGATTCAGACTCCCAGTAGTTTTACAGGAGAGTGCTACTACATCCTCACTAAGTAGTATTTGGGTTAATCATAATTTTAAATTATTTTGGTGTGTCAGTTTGAACACTAGAGTGATATAAAAACAACTTAAAAACTTGAATTCAATAATTTTACAATTGTATTGCATCTTAAAACATTTTATAGTAAACTTGGATAAAATATATAAATAATCCAAGGGTGTAAAGTAGAAAGTGAAAGCCCCGTTCTCCCAGTTCCAGCCCCCTGATGGTGCCAATATTAAACGTTGTATCCTTGCAGACATACATCTTTGATTTTTGCCCTCATGCACATTACTCATGTAAAAATTATTTCTGTTGAGTAGATTCCTAAGACTGCTGTATTATATGATCTTTTTAAAGTATGTTGCTAAATTTCCCCTCCCTTCCCCAAAAATTCCAATTTGCACAAATATACATGCACACATGCACACAATACAGTAAGGTAGACCCCAGAGATAAAACATGTTCTCTGTAGAAAATCTGAAAATAGAGAAAAGGACTGGGGAGAAGTTTAAAGTTGGCTTTCAGCCCAATAGAGACCACATTATATAACACATTAACCATGTGGTGCATGTAATTTACATAATTTATATATTTTATATATATACATATATATATATATATTTTTTTTTTTTTTTTTGGAGACAGGGCCCAGGCTGGAGTGTAGTGGCAGGATCACGGCTGACTGCAGCCTCGAGCTCCCAGGCTCGAGCTATTCCCCCGCCTCAGCCCCCCGAATAGCTGGGACTATAGGTGTGCTCCACCACGCCCAGCTAATTTTTAAAATTATTTGTAGAGGCGGAGTCTCGCTATGTTACCCAGGCTTACTATTTTAAAGTAGATATAGGATACAAATTTAAAAAAAAAAACAAAACCTGCTTCCACGTAGGTAAAGCAGGAAATACCGTGGCTTGTTAATAAGTAATTCCCTCATGATCCTTTTTCCCAGGAACTTGGGTGAGAAATCACTAACCCTATCCTGATCTTTGAAACAGCAATTTAGTATTTTCATCTCCCTGGCAACCCAAGGCGCCCTGGCTTCCTTGCTCTTCCGAGTGATTGATAGTGACCCCACCCAATATAATCTTTTTGTTTATCGTATGTAACCAATCCAACCACTAGCGCGGGGCTAGGGGGCGTTTCCACCGGTGCGCGGGCAAGCTGAGCCTGCCTTACGTCTGCTGTGCGTCATCAGTCCGAGCCAAGGGCAGTATTGGTCCGCTCCGTTCAACGAAGTGGTTGGTTTTTTGTGCCGGCAATGAGTTGCGCCGGGGCGGCGGCGGCTCCCTGCCTGTGGCGGCTGCGCCCGGGCGCCCGGCAGTCGCTCTCAGGTAAAGGGATGCGCGCAGTTAGTCCTGCGCTGGGCTAGCAAGCTAGAGAATTTTCGCTTGAGATCTGGGTCGAAGAGGTCACGGGGGAGAGGTTCGTAACGTCACAGGCCTGCGACGGAGCGCGACTGCGTGACTGCAGCTTACAGGGCGCTGGCGGCCCGGGCGGGGCCTGTAGTTCGTGGCGAGAGTGACGGGAGGACGGGGGTGGTTTCGGCAATGATGCCTGGGGAGTGACGGAGTGGCACACCTGTGCAGTGATGTCACGGCAGGTGCGGCCAGCTTTCCGAGTCGAGGACAGTTGTCGACACTGAAAATTTAGCGTCTCAGGGAGTCTCTCTTTTTGTGGTCTTTGCCCAGGGCCTTGCCAGGCAAAGTGTAGCCCGACGACCAGCTGCCTCCGCTACTTCTGGGAGCTCGCTAGAAATACAGATTGTTGGGCCCCACCCCGACCTACTTGGTCGGTATCTGTGGTCTGTGAACAGGCCCTTTAGGTGATTTGCATGCACTGTAAACTTTGAGAGCCATCAGTGTAGTAGAAGGATCATCGAATTTGGAGTAGAGAGACTTGGTTTTGGACCATGGTTCCTGCTTTCCTTGTTTCATCTGTGCTGCCTTAGAAAATTGTCATGAAACCGGGCGCGGTGGCTCCAGCCTATAATCTCAGCACTGTAGGAGGCCGAGGCTGAAGGATCACCTGAGGTCAGGAGTTTGAGACCAGCCTGGCCAACACGGTGAAACCCCGCCTCTACTAAAGATAAAAATTTGGCGGGCGTGATGGCAGGTGCCTGTAATCTCAGCTACTCAGGAGGCTGAGACAAGAGAATCGCTTGAACCCGGGAGGCAGAGGTTGCCTTGAGGCGAGATTGCACCACTGCACTCCAGCCTGGGCGTCAGAGCGAGACTTTGTTTCCCCAACCCCTGCCAAAAAAAAAAAAAAAAAAAAAAAAAAAAAAAAAAAAAAATTGTCATGAGGTCGTTTTCTCAACGTTAAATTATGTGTACCACCTTCGGGATTTTTGCCTAATGGCAGGCAGTACTGCTTGAACTTTTGATTACTAGATGTGTGTGTGTGTGTGTTTTTTTTTTATAGCCGTGTCCCATTTTAAAATTAAATTAATTTCCTTGAAACGAAATCGTTAAGGTGAATGGGAAGCCAGTGCCACTTGCCACAAATGGATGAGTAATCATTTAAAAAAAAAAAACTGAAATTAAAAAGTTATGAAATTGTATTAAATACTGTCTTTCTGTTACAAAGGGGAAATTGGCAAGTGTTGGGAAGGTGTTGAGGATATGCCAGTTGTAAATGGAGACGTCTTCCTTAATGAAATAAAAGATTGCAAGAGAATTTAAAAGAGTACCCCTTACTACATGGGGTTATTTATTGCATATCCATAAGCCACTTAAAATTTCATAGGTACCACACTGGCGTGTTTCACATGTTGGGAAAATATGGACGTAAAGTGATGCATTTGAGAGCTTCTAGCACCCAGCCTCAATTTTATTTTAAAGTGTGTGGCAATGCGGGCAAAACTCCGAGGGTTGTTGAATGTGAATTTTAATGCTGTTCTGTTCGCCAGTGAGCATAACAGAATAAGAATCATTTCTGTTTATAAAGTTACTTTGCTTCTTATATCTAATTTTATCCTCATAACTCAGTAAGATAATTTTATTGTTATGTGTTTTCCCTTAAAAAGGAAAGAGCCTGATTATCGCCTTTTTTTTTTTTTTTTTTTTGAGACAGTATCTTGCTCTGTTGCCCAGGCTGGAGTGCAGTGGTGCGATCTCAGCTCACTGCAACCTCTGCCTCCTGGGTTCAAGCGATTCTCCTGCCTCAGACTCCCAAGTAGCTGAGGCTGCAGGCATGCACCACCATGCCTGGCTAATTTTTGAATTTTAGTAGAGATGGGGTTTCACCATGATGAGCAGGTCTCAAACTCCTGACCTCAAGTGATTCTCCCTCCTTGGCTTATCAAAGTCTGGGATTACAGGTATGAGTCACCAATGATTACTGCTAATTTTATGTGTAAGAAATGTCGATCCTGATTTTCCCAAGGCTAGTGTTGGAGATGGGACACATGTTTTTGGTTTCTTTTTTTCTTTTTTTTTTTTGAGACAGAGTCTCACTCTGCCACCCAGGCTGGAGTGTAATGGCACCATCTCAGCTCACTGCAACCTCTGCCTACTGGGTTCAACTGATTGTTCTGCCTCAGCCTCCTGAGTAGCTGGGACTACAGGCGCACCACGATGGCTGGCTAATTTTTATATTTTTGGTAGAGATGGGGTTTCACCATGTTGGCCAGGCTGATCTTGAACTCCTAGTCTCAAGCAGTTCACCTGCCTGGGCTTCCCAAAGTGCTGGGATTACAGGTGTGAGCCACCACACCGGGCCTATCCGTCTTTTGAGTCAGATATGCTCAGTGAGATGAAGGGGATCATGCCGAGGAATGGACCAAAGCTGGGTCATTATGCTTCAGAACTTACGTCCACACTTCTTTATTAAAAGTGTGACATTTACAGCCCCATCTGGTAGAAGATTTCAAGTGCAGAGCCACCTCAAATTTTACCAACCCACCTCATCACCTCGTGTCCAAAACACTCAAGCCTTTGTCATGAAAGAACCACATATGTATCCAAAATGAATTTTTTCCACATATTTGCTGGATGTTGAAGTTAGCCTAAGTGAAAAGACGTATGCATTAAAGACATGGTAGTCACGGCCTAAGAGTGCTAAAACATTACAAAGTGATACCAATGCTGACTGGGGGCGGTGGCTCACGCCTGTAATCCCAGCACTTTGGGAAGCCGACATGGGAGGATTACTTGAGCTCAGGAGTTCGAGACCAGCCTGGGCAACATGGTGAAACCCTGTCTCTACTAAAAATACAAAAAAGTAGCTGGGCATGATGGTGCATGCCCATAGTCCTAGCTACTTTGGAGTCCTAGCTACTGTAGAGGCTGAAACAGGAGAATTGCCTGAGTCCGAAAGGTGGAGTTTGCAGTAAGCCGAGATCGTACCATTGCACTCCAGCCTGGGCGACAGAGCCAGAGTGTGTCTCAAAAAAAAAGTGATACCAGTGCAGATCGAAGCTGCCATTACAAACTAAATGACCCCTAGGTTTTTATTTTCCGTATCTGCAAAATGAGGTGAATACACCTTACACACCTAAGAATGCGGCAAAACTCTTCCTTGCAGGGAGAAAAGCCTCTTGAGTTACTCTAATATAAGGCTTAGAGAATATAATTAAGGTGTTAAGGTTAAAAGATATTTATTTTTAAAGATAAAATATAATCTGTCATGAAGAATTTACATTTTGAAGGTAAGAGTTCCTTTGAATTGATTTTGGACCATAATCAGGTGAAATCTAGACTCTAAGGCTAGTCTCAAAATTGAATGCCCAAGGGTGTGGGGTTTTAAAATTTTTTCTCTGTTTTTTTTTTTTGTTGTTTGTTTGTTTGGTTTTAGACAGAGTCTCACTCTGTTGCCCAGGCTGGAGTGCAGTGGCACGATCTCGGCTCACTGCAATCTCTGCCTCCCGGGTTCAAGCTATTCTCCTGCCTCAGCCTCCCAAGTAGCTGGGATTAAAGGCATATACCAACACACCCAGCTAATTTTTGTATTTTTGGTAGAGATGGGGTTTCACCATGTTGGCGAGGCTGGTCTCAAACTCCTGACCTCAGGTGATTCATTCTCCTTGGCTTCCCAAAGTGTTGGGATTACAGGCGTGAGCCACTGCGCCCGGACAGGTGTGAGTTTTTTGTTTTTTTTTTTTGAGATGGAGTCTCGCTCTGTCGCCCAGGCTGGAGTGCAGTGGCGTGGTCTTGGCTCACTGCAAGCTCCGCCTCCCAGGTTCACGCCATTCTCCTGCCTCAGCCTCCCTGGTAGCTGGGACTACAGGTGCCCGCCACCACGCCTGGCCAATTTTTTGTATTTTTAGTAGAGATGGGGTTTCACCAAGTTAGCCGGGATGGTCTCGATCTCCTGACCTTGTGATCCACCCGCCTCGGCCTCCCAAAGTGCTGGGGTTACAGGCGTGAACCACCGCGCCCAGCAGGTGTGGGTTTTAAGAGAACTTAGGCTGTGGTTCTCAGCCTTGGCTGAAGTGAAGACTTATGCACATAGCTTCTAAAAAATGTCAATTCAGAGAGCCTCCTCCCAGAGATCAATTGGGGAAGAGCACCATGATTTTGAAAGCTGTCTATGGGCCTCTCCTGTACAGCATGTGCTGGGGGGAATGTGCCAGAGGGCCGGTGAACTGGAGAACCACGCCCATCTAGAAGCGGCTGCCATGTTAACTACCTGGTAAGAAGATAGGCTCAGCATTTCCAGATCTTCATACACTTAAAGTGAAGCCAGAAATCCAGATCTTTAGGTAGAATCCTCTTTTTTAACACTGTAGGTTAAACAGAGTACATTTATGGGCATGCCTGGCATCCCAAAGTGCCCTTTCTTCTGTCTGTAAAAGGAACATTTGGATTTTACCTGAACGTAACAAAGAATAAACACTTGCATTTCAGCTTATGGAAGAAGGATCATTGTCAGATTTCGCAGTTCAGGAATGACCTTAGACAGTATCAATCGGGCAGTTGTGGATCGAATAATCCGGGTGGATCATGCAGGCGAATATGGAGCAAACCGCATCTATGCCGGGCAGATGGCCGTCCTGGGTCGGACAAGCGTCGGGCCAGTCATTCAGGTGGGTGCTTCTTCATCTCCCTCACCCTGGTCTACCGAATGGGCAGATCCAAAGGCCTTCAAGTAATGAATCACGGGAGGTCAAGCGTTCCCCAGGGAGATGCCATTGTCTCCAGGAGAGCGAAAGTTGGTTCTTGGTGGAGAGATGGAGAGCAAAAAGCATATTGTTCTTTTTATGGATAAAGCACAGAGACATATAGTACATAGACAGGTATGCAGTCATAGTGTGTCCTTCACAGGGATTGTGTGGATTGAATGAATTGCTTGCATAAAGCTCTTTGACGGCTCCTGGCACTTAGGAAGTGCCATCTAAGTGTTAGCCGCAGCTAGCATTCTCCCTTCTTCCTCTGATGTAAATAATATTCGGGGCCGGGTGTGGTGGCTCCTGCCTGTAATCCCAGCACTTTGGAAGCCGAGGCCGATGGACTGCTTGAGCCCAGGAGTTTGAGACCAGCCTAGGCAACATGACGAGACCCCGTCTCTACAAAAAATACAACAATTAGCTGAGTGCAGTGGCTCACAGCTGTAATCCCAGCACTTTGGGAAGCTGTGGTGGGTGGATCACCTGAGGTCAGGAGTTTGAGATCAGCATGGCCAACAAGGCAAAACCTTGTCTCTACTAAAAATACAAAACAAATTAGCCAGGCATGGTGGTGCACGCCTGTAGTCCCAGTGCTCGGGAGGCTGAGGCAGGAGAATTGCTTGAACCTGGGAGGCAGAGGTTGCAGTGAGCTGAGATCGCACCACTGCACTCCAGCTTGGGCAACAGAGTGAGACTCTGTCGCAAAAAAAAAAAAAAACAGCAAATCTCCCACCCCCAACACACACACACAACAAAATTAGCCAGCTAATTTGAGAGACCAAGGTTGGAGGATCCTGGCTAATTTGAGAGGCCGAGGTTGGAGGATCACTTGAGCCTGGAGGTTGAGGCTGCAGTGAGCCATGAGCTTGCTACCGCACTACAGTCTTGGTGAGAGAGTGAGACCCTGTCTCAAAACAAGCAAACCACAACAACAACAAGATGATACTATTCTAGTAGTCTGGAAGGAAATTACACAACAGCTAATGTTCTGCCTTCCTGATTTTGAAATGGGTTAAACATGCCATTTCTTATGCGTGTGGACCCTTGTTATTTACTAGGCACATTGTGGGCCTGAGAGACTTCTGCTGGAACTGTAGCTCATGGCAGTCTTACCTGTAGCTCACGGCAGTCTTACCTGTAGCTCATGGCAGTCTTACCTGGAATTGAGATGATAGATTCTTTTGTATTCTCGGCGCTGTCTTCTCTTTGTCAAAGATTCCTTTAGTCTGATGTCTTACTTTTTCCATTGATGTTTTGAGGGGAATGGCAGAGACAGCAGTTCCCATCATTTTCTCGTTTCTATTTTGCTTCCTGTATGCTGCTTGGATGAGTGGGAGGCCTCTATGGAATTCTTGCATGTCTTTATTTTTATGTTTCTTACAGAAAATGTGGGATCAAGAAAAGGACCATTTGAAAAAGTTCAGTGAGTTGATGGTTACGTTCAGGGTCCGGCCGACAGTTCTGATGCCCTTTTGGAACGTGCTGGGGTTTGCGCTGGGTACGTGTCTCTCTAGAAGAGCTTATGCAAGCTTGGGGATTTAGGATGATTACATCCTTCAGGTATCATGTTCACAGTTCTTGCTATGTCCTCTTACGACCTCATTCTGTTTACATCATATTTTTCCAAAGTTAAATTGACTGCCTTTTTTGGTGTGTGGCTTAAATTTATTTAAGATAGAATCTTAATGTCAGTACTTAAAAAGAAAAAAGGTCGGGTGTGGTGGCTTGTACCCGTAATCCCAGCACTTTGGGAGCCCGAGGCGGGCAGATCATGAGGTCAGGAGTTCAAGACCAGCCTGACCAACCTGGTGAAATCCCCATCTCCATTAAAAATACAAAAAATTAGCTGGGTGTGGTGGTGCAGGCCTGTAATCCCAGCCACTTGGGAGGCTGAGGTGGGAGAACTGCTTGAACCTCGGAGGTGGAGGTTGCAGTGAGCCGAGATCGGCCCACTGCACTCCAGTCTTGGTGACAGAGCGACAGAGCGAGACTCTGTCTCAAAAAAAAAAACAAAAAACAAAAAACAACACAAAAAGTAGAGCCAGGGTCTCATTCTGTTGCCCAGGCTGGAGAGCAATGGTATAGTCGTAGCTCGCTGAAACCTCTTGGGTTCAAGTGATCCTCCCACCTCAGCCTCTGAGCCTGAGTAGCCTGAGTAACTTGGACTACTGGCACATGCCACCACGCACAGGTCTATTTTTTTGTAGAGATAGGGTCTCATTATGTTACCTAGGCTGGTCTCAAACTGCCGGCCTCCCCAAAGTGCTAGGATTACAGGCGTGAGGCACCACACCTGGCCTAATGTCAGTATTATAAATAGAAAATACAGTAAAAATAACAGAAAAAAAAGCTAGTATAATTCAGTTGCAGCCAAATACTATTCCCTGACAAAGATTCTCAACCTGAGGTCTGTTCACTCTTTTAGAAAAGGAAGAGGAATAAATGGTATAAAAGATCAAAGATATATTCACCCCAAATGCTGACTTTCTCTTGGCCACAGTCAGGATAAAACAGCATTGAAAAGAGAATGGCTTTTCTTACTATGTAATTCCAGGTTTAACACTGGATCCAGTCTCTTTTAAAACAGTGGTTCTCCCTCAGGGTGAGTTTGCCCCCCTGATGAGGACATGTGGTAATATCTAGGTACTTTTTTTTTTTGAAATGGAGTCTCGCCCTGTCACCCAGGCTGGAGTGCAGTGGCGCGATCTTGGCTCGCTGCAACCTTTGCCTCCCAGCTTCAAGCGATTTTCCTGCCTCAGCCTCCCAAGTAGCAGGGATTACAGGTGCCCACCACCACACCGACTAATTTTTGTATTTTTAGTAGAGACAGAGTTTCACCATGTTAACCAGGTTGGTCTCGAACTCCTGACCTCAGGTGATCTGCCCACCTCGGCCTCCCAAAGGGCTGGGATTACAGGTGTGATCCACCGCGCCCAGCCCTCGGGACAGTTTTGGTTGTCAAAACTTAGTTGGCGCTGCTGGCATCTAGTTGGTAGAGGTCAAGGATGCAGTTAAATATCCCACCATGCATGGGGCACACAAAGAATGACCCAGCCCAATGTCTGGTGCAGAGGTTGAGAAGCCCTGGCCACAGATGATCTCCATTACCAGTCATATCTGCTTCTTTCTTTTCTGGTCTGGGTTTAACAATCCCAGGGGCAGGGACCGCCTTGCTCGGGAAGGAAGGTGCAATGGCCTGCACCGTGGCGGTGGAAGAGAGCATAGCACATCACTACAACAACCAGATCAGGAAGCTGATGGAGGAGGACCCTGAAAAATACGAGGAACTTCTTCAGGTATTTGTCCATGCTCTAAAACAGGGCTGCTCAAGGAGAAAAGGGCAGACAGCAATTGGGTAAGAGGAAAACATACTAGAGATTGTTAGGGGATGATGGGGGTTTAGAGCCTCAGTTTAAAGGTGAACAAACTGAGGAACAGATCGGTGAACCCATCTGCCCTGGCCATATAGCACAGACAGAGCTGGGACTAGAACCTTTGTCTCCTTAGTCTTTTTTTCTTTTTATTTAGAAATGGGATTTTGCTCTGTTGCCCTGGCTGGAGTACAGTGGCACAGTCATAGCTCACTGTATGTTCAAACTCTTGGGTTCAAGTGATCCTCCTGCCTCAGCCTCCCGAGTAGCTATGGGACTACGGGTACATGCCACCACACCCAGCTAATTTTTTTTTCTTTTCTTTTGCGACGGAGTTTCGCTCTTATTGCCAAGGCTGGAGTGCAGTGGCGTGATCTGGCTCACAGCAGCCTCCGCCTCCTGGGTTCAAACCATTCTCCTGCCTCAGCCTCTGGAGTAGATGGGATTACAGGCATGCGCACCACACCCAGCTAATTTTGTATTTTTAGTAGAAATGGAGTTTCTCCATGTTGGTCAGGCTGGTCTCGAACTCCGGACCTCAGGTGATCCGCCCGCCTTGGCCTCCCAAAGTGCTGGGATTACAGGCGTGAGCCACCACTCCTGGCCTTTTTTTTTTTAAGAGATGGGGTCTCACCGTGTTTTCCAGGCAGGTCTTGAACTCTTGGGCTCTGGTGATCCTCTCTCCTCGGCCTCCCAAAGTGCTGGAATTATAGGCATGAGCCACCACATCTGGCCAGAACCGTTGTCTCTTGAGCCCTGTCCTGTTCACTTCTTTTAGTTTTAATTTTTTGAATTTTTTGTAGAGACAGTGTCTCTCTCTGTTGCCCAGATTGGTTTTGAACTTCTGGGCTCAAGTGATCCTCCTGCCTTGGCCTCCCAAAGTGCTGAGATTACAGGTGTGAGCCATACCACCTGGTGCTGTTCATTTTTTTTTTTTTGAGATGGAGTCTCGTTCTATCAGTGCAGTGGTCTCCACCTGCACTGCAGCCTCCGCCTCCTGGGTTCCAGCAATTCTCCTGCCTCGGCGTCCCAGGTAGCTGGGATTATAGGCACATACCACCATGCCCAGCTAATTTTTGTATTTTTAGTAGAGATGGGGGTTCACCATGTTGACCAGCTGGTCTCTAACTCCTGACCTCAGGTGATCCTCCTGCCTTGGCCTCCCAAAGTGCTGGGATTACAGGCGTGAGCCACCGCACCCTGCCCACTTCTTTATCATTGGTAGATTCTGAGCAGATGCTGTGAGCAGGAACCCTTTAGATTAAATAAATGAATAGATATCCTGAGATAATTTTCCACAGCAAATAAGGGAACTGTTTAGTTTTTTAGAGTCTAAATCTGAGGTTGGCAAACTATGGCCTGTGGCCAGCCACCTGTTTCTTTAAATAAACTTCTATTGGAACACAAGCATGTCCATTTGTTTGCATGTCTCCAGCTGCTTTTCTGGTTACAGTGGCAGAGTTGGGTAGTTGGGACAAAGTATTTACTCCCTGGCCCTTTAGAGGAAAAGCTGGCCTCCCTGTCTTAGGCCATAATAAGAGGCTTTAGCCTCCAAAATGAAATGGAACAGTAGGAGAGTTGGAAGGCTAACTTGCTTTGGTGTCTTTTTATTTAACCAGGTGATAAAGAAATTTCGGGATGAAGAGCTTGAGCACCATGACACAGGCCTTGAACATGATGCCGAATTGGTAGGGCCCTACTGTTACCTGTTCTGCTTTGGGACTCCTTATTTGGGAGGTTGAGGTTTCTGTTCCCAGAAGAATAAATTTTAAAGCGACAGCCAAAGGGAGAGAAAACCAGTGATGTTGCTTTGACAAAAAGCAAGGAAATGCGTTATTGCTCCAGATTGGGAATCTCCTTTCATGCATTATCCCTTCTTGTTTTCCCCAGGAACGTTTTTTTTTTTGAGACAATTTCACTCTGTCGCCCATGTTGGAGTGCAGTGGTGCAGTCTTGGCTCACTGCAGCCTCTGCCTTCCGGGTTCAAGCAATTCTCCTGCCTCAGCCTCCCGAGTAGCTGGGATTATAGGTGCACACCGCCATGCCTGGCTAATTTTTGTATTTTTTGTTTTTAGTAGAGACCGAGTTTTCGCTTTTTTGGCCAGGGTGGTCTCGAACTCCTGATCTCAGATGATTTGCCCGCCTTGGCCTCCCAGGAGCTTCATTTCCTTTTCTGTGAGAATCTGGATGACTCCAATGCTTTGGCAGTAGCAGAGGCATTCCAACATTTTGAATAGCTTTCTTCGAAACTAAAATAAATTGTTCCTTAGATCTATTTCTTATCCCGAGAAATCCAAAGCCTGCCCTGCCAGTCCTGAATCTTACAACCAAAAATGAGCACAAAACATGTTTCTTTGTTTGCTTATTGTTTTTAACAGGCTCCAGCCTATGCCGTCCTGAAGAGCGTTATCCAAGCTGGATGCAAAGTGGCGATATATTTATCAGAAAGATTGTAAAGTGTGTCCAGTTATGCCTGTCTGTAAAAGATGATAGTAATTTACCAAGTGACATTTGCAGAGAAACAAGTGTACAGTTATCATTGTACTTTTGTACAATGTGAATTTTGTTAATTATAAGATTTCTTTAAAAAAAAAAAAACAAAACTGCAGTGTTGATTTTTCTCTGGGTTGTGTTTTCTGCCATGAGACCGACAGGTCACCAGCCTTGTTCAAGTCACAGCAAACGAAGCTGAACCTTGTTTGGTCTCATACTTAATTTTCTTTTATATACATGTTTTTCTTTTACATACGTGTGTGTGTGTGTATATACACAATTTTTTTTTTTTTTTTTTTTTTTGGTGGAGACAGGGTCTCACTCTTTTGCCCAGGCTGGGTCACAGCTCACTGCAGCCTCGACCTCCCAGCCTCAAGCAATCCACCCATCTCAGCCTTCCAAGTAGCTGGGACTACAGGTGTGCACCACCACAACTGGCTAATTCTTTCTATTTTTTTGTAGAGGCGAAGTCTCACTGTGTTGTTAGGCTGGTCTCTAACTCCTGGACTCAGTGATCCTCCCATTTCTACCTCCCAAAGTGCTGGGATTACAGGTGTGAGCCACTTCACCAGGCTCATTTTCTCCTAAAACATCAAGGAGAAATCATTAATAATGTAACGGGAATCTTTAGGAGAAAAAACAATTTGGTTTACTGATAACAAAAGATAATTGGAAACATGAGAGTATTTGAGATTGGCCAAGCAGAACTATGAAGTCCATCAAGTAAGTCAAAGACCATCGTTTCTGTTCTGAATTGTGGGTGATAAGGGGTGGGAGAGTGCTACAGTCTGGATGTCTGTGTTGCCCCAGAATTCATATGATGAAATCTTCACCCTCAAGTTGATAGAAGGTGGGGCCTTTGGGAAGTGTGAGGTTATGAGGGTGGAGCCCTCATGAATGGGATTAGTGCCTTATGAAAGGTCCTAGAGAGATACCTCATCCTCTCCACAGTGTGAGACTTCAAGGGGTGTGGGCTCTGAGGAAGCAGACCCTTCCTCAGATCACGGACTTCTCAGCCTCTAGGACTGAGCAATAAATGTTTGATGTTTATAAGCCACCCAGACTGTGGTTTTTTGAGTCTCACTCTGTCACCCAGGCTGGAGTGCAGTGGTGCGATCTCGGCTCACTGCAAGCTCTGCCTGCCGGGTTCACGCCATTCTCCTGCCTCAGCCTCCCGAGTAGCTGGGACTATAGGTGCCCGCCACCGTGCCCAGCTAATTTTTTTGTATTTTTATTAGAGACGGGGTTTCACCGTGTTAGCCAGGATGGTCTTGATCTCCTGTCCTCGTGATCTTCCTGCCTAGGCCTCCCAAAGTGCTGGGATTACAGGCGTGAGCCACCGCACCCGACTGACTGTGGTATTTTGTTATAGCAGCCCGAACAGACTAAGATGGGCGTGTTGCTTCCATCGAAGACTATACTAAGTTGTGGATTATTTGTGAAATTGAATTACGATCTTTTCCTTAAGGTCTTTTACCACCCCCCCCCCCAAAAAAAAAACCCCAAACTGATTCAAATTTTCATACTTTAATGAAATATTTTATAATTTGCAAATTTTTAAGTGATGTATGAAAAATCTAGATCAGTGGATCTCCTCTCTGGCTGCCCATTAGAATGTCCCATGGAGATTAAACTTTTTTTTTCAGTTTGTGGACCAAGAGTTTTGATTTATTTAGGGTGGAGTTCAGGGTCAGAATGGTTTCAGAAGCTCCCAGGTGATTCTGATGTGAGTTGGAGCTGCAAGGCACTGAACTAGATTATAAGATGTTTCTGGGAAAGAACCACATTTTAGGAATTTGCCTCCCACCCAGTCCTCTGTGTTTAATCAGCACCTGATGACTTGGCAGGACTTGCCCCACCAGGGTCTGGCTTTGAAGGGTAGTGGACACCAGGATCATTTGGATGAATCCTCTGCTACCTCTCTCTCTTCCTCAACCAAGAGTGAATTTAATTTTATGTAATTGGGTGAAAGTCTACGAATCATAATTGTAATAAATTAAGGCTGGCTGTTTGTTTGAAATTAGATAAGATAAACCTAAAGGTTTGAACAAGTTGTGGATGGTTTGTAAAAATTAATCTTATAAAATAAATGCTCTGTGTGAACATACTGATTAAATTCAAAGGGATATTATTTGGTTTTTCTGTAAATTGAACCTTGAAATAAAAGTACAACAAGGTTTTCTTAAGGCACTGGTCTGCTTTTTAACAAGAATTTGTAAAGGGTTATAAAAGGTTTACAAGAATCTCACCTCATGTTCAAACTAGTTAAGATTGGATAGATTTATCTATAAGGTATTACTAAAAATTGGGGATGACATTAATAGTAGACTGATGCAAGGATGAAATCTGACTGTCTTGAACAAGATTTTTATGTAATAGTAAAGGATAATGAAAGATTTTTGTTTGCCTTGCAAATAAACTACCAAAAAAAGAAGGGAAAGGCAAGAGACAAATTGTTTGGAAAGTTGTCTTCCCTTTTAATGAGTAAAGGTTTTGTGCCTTTAAAAGAAGTTTTTGAGTCATCATTTTGGCTAATGATAACCTGGAATTCTATTTTATAGTATCAAGTGTTTTAAACCTTTAACATGTTTAGTAGGCTTCCCCAAATCAAACTTTAGCTTCAAGATTGTCTTTTTTGACCCCTAACTTTTGGATGCCAACAGAGGGCCCCTGGATTATTTGACATGTTTAATTACATGGGATTGCCAAAATGAAAATAATGTTTAATCTTCTTCAGGTTACATTTTAGTGAATAACATTAATATGTGTTCCAAAATTGTATGAGATTTCTAAAATTCTAATATCTGAGTATATGATATCAATTTGAATTAGGATTATTATGTTAAGTTATTGTAAACCACAGAAATAATGAAATTTGTCAATCGTGTTTTTGACTGAGACTGTCTAAAGACATCTTGTCGTTCACAGACAATCGTAGTCTTGTTTTGATCCTCTTCAAAAGATGGTTTGTAATCAGCTATGGAACTTAGGTGCTCTTAAATGCAGATTTCCAATATCTTTAGATTGTGATATTAGAATAAAGGAAAAATATTCAGGACTCATGAAGAGCTGAAATATTCATCAATTTATCAGGCAGAACAAGAGTTAACTGAATGGGCTGAACTAACAGAAAACAGGTAATCTGTTTAATTTTTTGCTTAAAACATTGCCGATCTTTTGTTTTTCAGAGTCAAGAAAACTTTTATTTTGAACTATTTACAGCATTTAACAATTGAGTAAAGTATACTCCTGTGAAAAAAATTTGCAGCATATTGGTTCATCTGCTGGTTTCTCTAGAATTTGGAAACTATTTGTGAGTATTCTTATGGCAATGTGTAAGTGCATTCTTACTTGTGTAAGTGCAACAAGAATCCACTTTCTTTTGCAACAGGACACAATTGGAGAAACTGGTTGTTTTATCAGTTTCTGATAGAAGGGTGTGCTTCCCTTTAAGGAATCAAGCTTGACTTGCAGAGCCAAAAAAAAGTTTCTTGGAGAAACTGGCCTCATACCTTGTCTACAGTCCTTGTACAGGGCTCCTAACCTGTGACTGCAGCAGGACGAGCCACAGACAAAACCTCTCAGACACCGAGTTGTAGAAGGAAGGGCTTTATTCAGCTGGGAGCATTTGCAAGCTACTACCTTAAAATCCAAGTTCCCCGCGTGTACAATCTCTGTCCCTTTTAAGGGCTCACAACACTAAAGATTTAATATGAAAGGGTTGTGATTGATTGAGCAATCTAGGGGGTACGTGACGGGGGTTTCATGCACTGGTAGAGAGAAACAGAACAGGGCAGGGAGTTTCACAGTGTGCTTCTATACAATGTCTGGAATCTATGAATAACATCAGTTTCTAAGTTATGAGTTGATTTTTAACTACTGGGTTTAACCCAGGCAGGCCCAGGCCTGGTTTCGGGCCTGGCACTGGGCTGCCTGTCTTTGGTTTTACTTCCTTGTTTTTTTCCTTAAAACAGGTACTGAGTATAAAACAATATAAAACAATATGAGAGTGTCTCTCTCTTTCCTCATGATGAGTAAAGAATGTCACTTTCTAACAGGTCCAGGAGCCCCAAGTTATCTTGGGACCTCAAGAAGAGAGGAATTTACCCAACTCATAGGTATTTGAGGGTACAAACCCATTGCTGGGCTTGACTTTAAAAAGTCTTTTCTGATATTCCTTATGGAACAGAATTCCATTAGAGCCAATTTTAAAAGCATATATGAAAAATAATTATTCTTGCTGTACTTTATGCAAATAATCAGGCCAAGTATAAGACTAAAGTTTATTTTGCAAACAATCCTATTATTCTTTGTTTTTAACAAAAATGAGGGCCGGAGAAAAATTATTTCAAAACTTACCACACTTGTCATTAAATTCTGGTCTTATTAGTTGTTTTTAAGTTTTTGTCTGTATTTTAGACTAACCCTGTTTATTCCTGTGAACCAACTAGTGGTCTCTGGCTGCAACTCAGAAGAAACAAGGGATGGGTAATATAGAAATCTGGATCAATATTCTAGTTCTGGGCAACTATCCTGCAAATCCTGCCAGGTGATAGGGGTAAATGAGGTGCCCATAACCTGGAGGTTTCTTTGGGAAAATAAGACCAGGGAAGCTAACCAAAGCCAAGCTCCTTGCACCCAAATTTTAGCAGACATAACTCTAGCCACAAGTTACCTGGGTGTGTTGGCAGCCTCAGGATTTTTGTGCTGTCCTTACCCCCATGTTTTTTTTTTTTTTCATGTCTTCTAATAACCTGGTTTGTCTCTTCTCACCTAGAGGTCATCAAACTCCAACTGGAATCTCAGACGATTGCCCCTTTTACCAGGGACCCTTAGATAGGCCTCTGAGTGAGCTCTGACTGCCATTTTCCAAGAACAGCGCCCCCTGTCAGCAGGAAGCAGTTAAGAGTGATCATGGTCTTTATCCTAACGGCAATTAGATGTACCTCTTGAGAGGGGAGAATAGCAGGAGGCAGTCACATGCCTAGGCAGATAGGGGTGGATCCCTGGTGAAACCCGACCCTCAAACCAAAGACAGTTTAAAGCCTGAAAGCCAAACTACAAGTCCCAGGTAAATCCACAGACTGGATTGAGAACCGGTCTTCCCGTCTGGCGTGCTTTCCTCTGATCCCCATGCTTCACCTATTTTACATATATCTACCCTTCCTTAATTGGTTTTTTACACTGTTGTGCCCAACTTTGGTGCCTTTGTTTTAACCTTTTTTGCGTACTCAGAAACCAATCAGTATGCGCTTCTCCATTCTGAGCCCATAAAAGCCCTGGACCCAGCCATACTGGGGGAGTGACGAACCAACATCAGGTGGGGGACCACCCTCGTGTCCCCTCTCTGCTGAGAGCTGTTCCATCACTCAGTAAAATTCTTCATCATCCTTGCTTTTTGATTGTCAGCATAACCTCATTCTTCTTGGATTCAGGATAAGAACTTGGGAACCATCAAATGCATGTACGAACTGTAACACAGGTGGGCTATGGCACACCTGGTCCAGCCACAGGCTGAGCTGGTGTGAAAATCAGGTGCAGCCAGCGGACCAAGTGGGCGGGGTGCCTCCTGCAGCAGGTCTGAGGCCAAGTGAGGCCCGGGTAGAGGGCATCACCATTCACGGAGTTCCCTGGTTGGCAAAGTGGCCAACAAAAATCCTGCATCGATATCTTGCTGATAGGAATGTAAAAATAGTGTAGACATTTCAGGAAACAATCTGGTAGTTTCCCAGTTAAACAGATAGGATACAGCAATTCCTCTCTTGAGTATTAACCCAACAGAAATGAAAACATGGCCATGTGTAGTGGCTCACACCTGCAATCCCAGCACTTTGGGAGGCCGAGGTGGGTGGATCACTTGAGTCCAGGAGTTTGAGACCAGCCTGGCCAACATAGCAAAACCTCTTCTTAGCTGGGCGTGGTGTGGGTGCCTGCAGTCCCAACTACTTGGGAGGCTGAGATTGGAGGATTGCTTGAGCCCAGGTGGTCAAGGCTGCAGTGAGCCGTGATTGTGCCACTGTACTCTATCCTGGGTGAGAGAGCAAGACCCTGTCTCTATAAAAAAAGAAAATGCCGGGTGTACTGGCTCACGCCTGTAATCTCAGCACTTTAGGAGGCCAAAGCAGGCGGATCACCTAAGGTTGGGAGTTCCAGACCAGCCTGACCAACAAGGAGAAACTAATCTCTACCAAAAATACAAAATTAGCCAGGTGTGGTGGCACATGCCTGTAATCCCAGCTACTCAGGAGGCTGAGGCAGGAGAATCCCTTGAACCTGGGAGGCGGAGGTTGCGGTGGGCCGAGATCGTGCCATTGCACTCCAGCCTGGGCAACAAGAGCGAAACTGCGTCTCAGAAAAAAGAAAAGAAAAGAAAAACATGTTCAATCATTGTACGTGAATGTTCATAATAACTAAAAGTGGAAACAACTCATGTCCATCAACTGAACAAAATGACATACCCAAACAAGGCACTTATCTTACTCAGCTGTAAAAACGAATAAAGTAGTGATACGTGATACAACACGGATGAACCTTAAAAACATTATGCTTGGGTCCAGAGTTTCAGTATGGGAAGATGAAAATAGTTCTGGAAATGGATGATGTTGATTATTGAACAACAATGTGAATGTACTTAATGTCAATGGAATGTCTTCTTAAAATGGTTAACATGGGGCCAGGCACAGTGGCTCATGCCTGTCATCTCAGCACTTTGGGAGACCAAGGTGGAAGGATCGCTTGAGTCCAGGAGTTTGAGGTTGCAATGAGCTGTGAGAGCACCAGAACACTCAAGCCTGGGCAACTTTGAGAAACAACAACAAAAAAAGGCTTGGCCAGGTGCGGTGGCTCACGCCTGTAATCCTGGCACTTTGGGAGGCTGAGGCAGGCAAATCATGAGATCGGGAGTTCAAGACCAGCCTGGCCAAGATGGTGAAACCCTGTCTCTACTAAAACTACAAAAATTAGACAGGCATGGTGGCACACACCTGTAGTCCCAGCTTCTCGGGAGGCTGAGGCAGGAGAATCTCTTGAACCCAGGTGGCAGAGGTTGCAGTAAGCTGAGATCACGCCACTGCATTCCAGCCTGGGCAACAGAGTGAGACTCCGTCTCAAAAAAAAAAAAAAAAAAAAGGTTAAAATGGCAAATTTTATATTGTATATTTTACTACAATTTTAAAAATCATGCAAATCATGCTAAGTGAAAGAAGCCAGACACAAAAGGTTGTATATTGTATTACTCCACTTACATGAAATGTTCAGAACAGGCAAATCCATAGAAACAGAAGATAGATTAGTGGTCATCTAGGGCTGGAGGGGCGGGGATGGGGAGAAATAGGGAGTAACTCCTCATGGATACAGAGTTTTTTCATGTGATAAAAATGTTCTAGAATCAGTGGTGATAGTTGCACAATCTATACTTAAATTTACTGGATCATACATGTTAAAATTGTGAATTGTATGGCATGTAAATTGTCTTACCTGTTTTGTGTTGCTATAACAAAATACCCGAGACTGGTAATTTATAAAGAGATTTATTTATCTCACAATTCTGGTGGCTGGAAAGTCCAGGATTGGGCAGCTGTATCTGATGAAGGCCTCACACTGCTTCCACCCATGGTGGAAAGTAGAAGGGTAGTGGGCATGTCAAAGAGATTGCATGGTTAGACAGGACGCAAGAGAGTCAAACTGAGGAGGCCACTTTTTAACAACACACTTTCTTGGGAATTAACCCATTCCCCAGAAAGTGAGAACTCACTCGTCCAGCAGGAGAGCATTCATCTGTTCATGAGGGATCCACCTCCATCATCCAAACACCTCCCAACACTGCCACATTGGGGATCAAATTTCAACATGAGTTTTGGTTGGGACAAATCACATCCAGACTGTAGCACGGACCAAAGCGATAGGAAAAATACAGGTGATTTAGTTTAGTTTTTTTGTTTGTTTCTTTAGGCTACTTAGTTTTATGCAAATTTTAATCCTGGCTGTTAAATGAGAAACTGATTTTTTATATTTACTACCCTTCAAGCCAGCAGAGCATGAAGAAGTTTTCATGTTCTGAGACTCGGGTGCCATTTCTTGCCCTCCCATATCAAAGCTACTTTTGTTAAGTACTGCAGCTGGGAGTCTTAGTCCCATAAAGCACTTTGTACAATTCTTATTAAAAACCCAGGCTGTTTGTTTAGCTTCCCCTTCAGAATTGATGGCTGATGTTTTATGCTTCTGAGAGCTTCCAGAACAAGGCCAGAGAGGTTTTTTGAATCTCCCTTTGATTGTTTTTAATTCCATTACAGCTTGTCCTTGTGTATTAACAAGGTAATCTTGTCTTTCTCTTACTTTCCTGATCTGACCTTTCAGGGAAAATGTGATTTTAAAATTGGACACTATCCAAAGATGATGGCAGGATGAGAAAGGATATTCTTGCAAGTACTGTAGTTCCAAAGAGGCGATCTGAACTGTAAGTCTTTGCAAGTCTTTGATTCCCTCATTATTCAAAGTGTGGTCTATGGACCAACAGCAGTGGTATCACAGGGGAGCATGTTAGAAATGCAGAATTTGGGAATCTCTCCAGACCTACTCAAACAGAATTTGCATTTGAGAAAGGTGGTGGTTTTAAAGTATGTCCACAAATTCCTTGATACATCTATGTTCAGTGGAGCTTGCTTCCCCTTGCCTTGTTTGTGGGCTGTACTCAGTGACTTGTTTCTAACAGAATATGGTGGAAATGAAGTGTGACGTCCAAAGTTAGATCATAAAAGACACTGTAAAGGTTGGGCGTGTGTGGCTTACACGTGTAATCCCAGCACTTCAAGAGGCCAAGGCAAGAGGTTTGCTTGAGGCCAGGAGTTCAAGACCAGTGTGGGCGATATAGCAAAACCCTGTCTCTACAAAAATAAAATAAAATAAAATAAAATAAAATATTAGCTGGGCATGGTGGCATGTATCTGCAGCCTTAGCTACTTGGGAGGCTGTGGTGGGAGGGTCATTTGAGCCTAGGAGTTAGGGGCCGCACTAAGCTATGATCATATCACTGCACTCTAGCCTGGATGACAGAGCCAGATTCTGTTTTTTGTTTTTTGTTTTTTTAAAAAAAAGACACTGCAGCTTCCACCTTTCCCCCTAGGATTACTCACTGTGGGGGAACCTAGCTGTCATGTCATGAGGATACTCAAGCACTTAATCTGTGGAGATGCTCACATGGCCAAGAACTGAGGTCTCCTGCCAATAGTCATGGGAGTGCACCATCTCGCAAGTGAATCCTTTGGCCTTGCAAGTGAATCAATTTCAGCTTTCAGATGACTGCAGCCCCCAACATGTTGACTCCAACCTCATGAGCGACCCCAAGCCAGAATCAACCAGGTAAGTCACTCCTGAATCACTCAGGAGTGATTAGATAGACCCTCAGCAACTATTTGAGATGATAAATGTTTGTTGTTTCCAGCTGCTGAGTGTTGGGGTCATTCGTTACGCAGCAACAGATAACCAATACAACAGCTCCAGGTGATGTGGAAGCACATTAAAGTGTGTGGCGCACTCAGCCAGACCATAAGCTCCTGGAAGGCAGACACCAATTTGGTAGTTTCCATGTCTTCAAGGCTTAGTGGAGTACCTGACATGCAATATATTTTTGTTGGACTAAAGACAAGGTTAAATTGCCCTGTTTTTAAAACATTAAAACTTTTCTTCTGTAATAAATAATGCATGTACACACATAGGAAATTATTCCAGCAGTGCTAAAGGGTATTTTCAGTGACAAGTAAATCTCCCTGCAGACTGTTGATTGATAGCAAACTCTGTTACCAACCTCCTTCCTTTGAGATAAGCTAGTAGCAACCTACCACTAACAGAGTGCATTTTTTTTTCTTTTTTTCCACCTCCAAAAGTAATACTTGCCTCAAAATCAAATATAAACTGCATATAAGTAGAAAAAAGAGAAAAAGAAAAAAAGGCTCTTCTTCCAAACGTTCCCTAGAAGCGACCACTATTAATAATTCAATGTATATCTTTCTGGATGGTTTTTAGAAATCTTTTATCCACGTACATGTTTGGGTTTGCATTGTTCCCCAGATGGAATATTATGCATTTGATCTGCGATTTGTGCATTTCACTCGGTGACCTACACTGGCCATCTTCCCAAGTCAATTCGTAGAGCCCCATCTCGTTTTTTAATTGGCTGCCATACTCTTCCAGGGCAACCACTGCTGACCTGACCCAGCTCCTACCCCAGCCCAGGCCTGTGCTTGAATCTCCTTGGCCTGGTTCCAGAGGCTGTAAACTTAACCACTAAGCCACTGTTCCTCCGCTTATCTTCTCTTTTTGCCTCTTGGTAGACATCTGGGTTGCCTTTTTTCTTCTTCTTCTTTTTTTTTCTCCTGAGACAGGGTCTCCTTCTATCGTCCAGGCTGGTGGGCAGTGGGGTGATCATTGCTTACTGCAGCCTCAAACTTCCAAGCTCAAGCAATCCTCTTGCCTCAGCCTCCCAAGTAGTTGGGATTACGGGCGTGAGCCACCACGCCCGGCCTGGGTTACTTCTAACACAGGATTTTTTACTTCTAGAACACAGGATTTTGGGGCCACCGCTAGGAGGACCATCTTTCAGAAGGAGAGACCCTGGAAGGGAAGTACGAGCTCAAGGTTTTAACCCTTGGGAGATCCCATACCTCTGATAATTTTTTAACATATTATTATTATTATACTTTTGCTCTAGGGTACATGCATAAACGGCAGGTTTGTTACACAGATGTATACTTGTGCCATGTTGGTGTGCCGCACCCATCAACTCATCAGCACCCATCAACTCGCCATTTACACTCAGGTATAACTCCCAATGCAATCCCCTCGCCTCCTCCCATGATAGGCCCCAGTGTGTGATGTCCCCTTTCTCGAGTCCAAGTGATCTCATTGTTCAGTTCCCACCTAAGAGTGAGAACATGTGGTGTTTGGTTTTCTGTTCTTGTGACAGTTTGCTAAGAATGATGGTTTTCCAGCTGCATCCATGTCCCTACAAAGGACACAAACTCATCCTTTTTTGTGGCTGCATAGTATTCTATGGTGTATATGTGCCACATTTTCTTAATCCAGTCTGTCACAGATGGACATTTGGGTTGATTCCAAGTCTTTGCTATTGTGAATAGTGCCGCAGTAAACATACGTGTGCATGTGTCTTTACAGCAGCATGATTTATAATCCTTGGGCATATACCTGCAATGGGATGGCTGGGTCATATGGTACTTAAACAGATCCTTGAGGAATCGCCATACTTGCTTTCCCATAATGGTTGAATCAGTTTACAATCCCACCAACAGTGTAAAAAGTGTTCCTGTTTCTCCACATCCTCTCCAGCACCAAGTTGTTTCTGACTTTAATGATCGCCATTCTAACTGGTGTGAGATGGTATCTCATTGTGGTTTTGATTTGCATTTCTGATGGCCAGTGATGATGAGCATTTTTTCATGTGTCTGTTGGCTGTATGAATGTCTTCTTTTGAGAAATGTCTGTTCATATCCTTTGGCCCACTTTTTTGATGGGGGTTGTTTGGTTTTTTTCTTGTAAATTTGTTTGAGTTCTTTGTAGGTTCTGGATATTAGCCCTTTGTCAGATGAGTAGATTGTGTGGAAATTTTTGATAAAAACACCAGACCTCTTATTATAGTCCTCCTCTAAGATCCCTTGAGCCAGGTGACTTGAGGCCAAGAAAACACGACGTTTCCCAACTCAGAAACCAAAGGCACCTTTTCAAAGTGGAACTTCACCACCGCCATGTCTGTCTGCTGCAGGTTCCCGAGAAACATCCTGGGGCGCAGAGCACTTTCCCACCTCATGTGTTCAGAGCTTTAAAAGGCGCCTGCCCCCAGGACGTGCGTCCTCCCACTCCTGCCTCTGAACGGCACTTGCGGGGCTGAGCCCTAACACTACAGGTCCTTCATCCCGGATCGCGTAGAGAGATCGGCTCTCTGGCGCGCCAAGGGCAAGGAAGGTCTCTGGCTCGCGGCGCTCGCCTGTCCGGCAGAGGGCGCCTGCGCCCCACGCTGCGAGTTCCCTGCGAGGCTCTGCCGCAAGGTCGGCTGGACAACGCCCGGCAGGAGCCGAAGGAGGCGAGCGTTATATATGATACATAAGATAACCTGCCGCAGTCATCCCGCCCCGTGATCTCCGCTGCTGAACGGGAACTGATGTCACGTGTGTGCATGGCCAGAGGCGGAGGGCTCGGCTGGCTGCTCCAGTCTGCGCCTGGTTCACGCGTCTCGGGTGTCCTATCTCGGTGGATACATTTTTCTTTTTCAGAAGAGGAAACAGGAAACAGGGACGATTAGTCTCTATCTAGTGAGCTAATAATGTGAAAACCTCAGCTTCAGGTATCAAACAACATCCAAGGGCTGTACTGATTTATTTATCATTTTTGTAGACAGGGTCTTGCTCTGTCGCCCAGGCTAACCATATCTCACTGCAGCCTCGAACTCCTAGATTCAAGCAGTTCTCCTTCCTCAGCCACCTAATGTGCTGGGGTTACAGGTGTGAGCCATCACACTATCTAATTTTTATTTTTATTTTTAGTGATGAGGTCTCACTGTGTTGCCCAGGCTGGTCTCAAACTCCCGGCCTCATGATCCTGCCTCAGCCTCCCAAAATGTTTTGTTTTATTTTGTTGAGAATTTATCTTTATGATACTTCTTCCCTCCACTTGAGTTGTTCCAATTATATTTCCAAAATTACACAAAATTTCCCCAATGTTTAATCCTGGATTTTTAACTGGGCTTGCCTGTCAGAATAAACTCGAGATCAAAAAAAAAAAAAAAAAAAATCTACAGATGCTCCTGCTCTATCCAGTTCTACTGAAGCAGAAGCTATGGGGCTGGGCCCACATGAAATGACATTATAAAACTCACGCAGGACCTCTGATGTAGTGCCTCATAAGAAGCAATGGTTGCTGGGTGCGATTTCCAGCATCTTTGGGACGCTGAGGCAGGCAGATCACTAGAGCCTTGTGAGTTGAGACCAGGTTGTGCAAACACAGGAGACTCTGTCTCAATAATAATAAATTTGACTGGCGGGTGGCTCACGCCTGTAATCCCAGCACTTTGGGAGGCCAAGGCGGGTGGATCACTTGAGGCCAGGAGTTCGAGACCAGCCTGATCAACATGGAGAAACCCCGCCTCTACTAAAAATACAAAAATTAGCCAGGTGTGGTGGGGTGCCTGTAATTTCAGCTACTAGAGGCTGAGGCAGGAGAATCGCTTGAACCCGGGAGGTGGAGGTTGCAGTGAGTCGAGATCATGCCACTGCATTCCAGCCTGGGTGACTCCATCTTGAAAAAATAATATTAATAATAATCTTTTTAAAAAGAAGCAATAGTTTAATTCCACAAAAGCATTCATCCTAAATCTGCCTCTGCTTGGATGTACTTCCCACGCTTTACATCCTACTTGCCTGGGCTGATTCAGGATATCCATTCTGTCCCACTTTTCCTGCACCGTTTTCTGCTAAGATGTGACCCGTTGTTCCAATTTTCTGTAACTTATTCAGTGCTGTGACAGCTGGAAACATGTTTCAGACCAAGCTGTCTTTGCCAGGTGGAAACAATGACAAACACCCATACTTCTGGTTCTGCTGGGGCGGCAGCCTCTGTATGGTATTTTCCATGCCTGATTTCCAAGTGGCTTTATTGCAACAATTAAAAAAAAAAAAAAAAAAAACTGCACAGAAATGACACCTGCTGCACTTACTTGCTGATGCTCTGTGTAGGTGTGTATGTTTAAATAAGACCACATGGGTATTTAAAAAAAAATTATTGAAGTTATTCATTTGGCTGCTTTAAGGGCACACATTATTCTAACTGCTGAGGAATAAAAGAATTTTAGAACACGAAATTCATATTTCCCCCTTTTATCATTTAGAAGCCACAGAAAACATTTCACTTTTGCTTCCTTGGAGTACAGCGGCACCATCACAGCTCACTGCAACCTCTGCCTTCCGGGTTCAAGCGATTCTCCTGCCACAGCCTCTCAAGTAGCTGGTATTACAGGCGTGCACCACCATGCCTGACTGATCTTTGTATTTTAGTAGAGATGTGGTTTCCCCATGTTGCCTAGGCTGGTCTTAAGCTCCTGGCCCAAAGTGATCTGCTCGCCTCAGCCTTTCGAAGTGCTGGGATTACAGACGTGAGCCACCTTTGCTTCCAATAGGAAGTTATTAGCTCTGCTAAATCAGGGACCCAGAGACCTCTTTCTTCAGGTATTGCTTGATCCAGGAACTGAAACCAAACATTTGACTTTTCTTTCTCTTTCTGTCTCCTCACTGCTTTCCGCAGTGTTGATACTAGGTTCACAATGACCCTGCCCCCCCACCCCACACACACTCCCCTGTGGTCCTCCTCACCTATGGTAGCAAAATGGCCATAGCGCTTCTATATAGGACATCCTAACACCCTTCCATCCACATGAAAGATGACAGTCTCTTCCTCTTGCTTCTGCAGAACACAGGGAAGCTGCCGGAAACCACAAGCACACCCCTTCCCCATCGCTCCCTTACTTTTCCCCAATCAGGTTACATTCCTCACCCTCCACCAATCACTGTGGACTGGGGAGGGCTGTGGAGCTCTCATTGGCCAGGCCTGGTCACATGGTTGCTCCCGCAGCAGGTGGCGTGGGAAAAACTCCACCCAGGCCCTGCGGAGTGAGAGTGGGGTAGGGGTGGTTCCCACAGAGGAAGCCAGAGTCCTGTTCCGAAGAGAGAACAGGTGTTGGGCAGATCAAAAGGCCTGATGTCCCCTGAGCCCTGGAGGTCAAGATGTAGTCAGGACTTGAGAGTGGATATCAATTAGGCAGTGGGGTCAGGATGGCCTGGAGACAGGAAGACGGAACCCAGTGGGAGACATTTACGTAGCGCTGGTCTTGAGGGTGGGTGAAGATCTGGGTGACAGCTCCGTGGGGACCCAGAGGCAGCATAGTGTAATGAGCTCCACCACCAGTGGCGGGGATGGGAGAGGTATCCTTGCTTACCACTTACCAAGAGTTAGGAAACCTCTAATTCTTAGTTGTAAAATGAGAATACCTGGGTTGTCATGGCTGAACCTTGAAAACAATATGCTCAGTGAAGGAAACCAGTCACAAAACACCACCTATTGCGTGATTCCATTTACCTAGAATGCCAGCATAGGCGAATCTACAGAGAAAGTAGGCTGGACGCGGTGGCTCACGCCTGTAATCCCAGCATTTTGGGAGGTTGAGGTGGACAGATCAACTGAGATCAGGAGTTTGAGACCAGCCTGGCCAACAAGCAGAAGCAGCATCTCTACTAAAAATATAAAAATGAGCCAGGTGTGGTGGCACATGCCTGTAATCCCAGCTACTCAGGAGGCTGAGGCACGAGAATCACTTGAACCTGGGAGGCGCAGGATGTAGTGAGCTGAGATCGCGACACTGCATTCCATCCTGGGTGACAGAGTGAGACTCTGTCTCAATAAATTAAATAAATAAATAAATAAATAAATAAAGTGGATCAGTGAGTGCCTAGGGCTGGGGAAATGGGGGCATCAGAGGCCAATGGCAAAGGGTGCAAGATTTATCTTTGGGGCAATGAAAATGCTCTAAAATAGACTGTGATGATGGTTGCAAGACTCTAAATGTAAACCTTAAATTGGTGAATTGTATGGTATGTAATTATATCCCAATAAAACTTTATTTGAAGGTTAATGTGTTAAGTGCTTTGGACAGTGAGTGCCTAGTCCACCTCCTTTGCATGCCTCCTCAGTCCGCAGGTGGTAGCATCTTCCTACAGTTGCTCGTCCTTGGAAGTATCACCATCCTTCAATCTTAAGTTCCCTTCATCCTGTGCTGACTTTTCTGACCAGTCCCCTCATTCAGTTCCCTTCAATAAGCCTCTTTTCTGTGTGCCTCTCTTTCCTGCCAGGATAGAAATCAACTCTCCAGAAAAGAACAGATGCCAGTGACTAATTGGAAAGGACCTGGGATGGTTAATTTTATGTGTCCACTTGATTGGGCCACAGGGTGCCCAGACATTTGCTGGAACATTATTCTGGGCGTGTCTGCAAGGGTGTTTCTGGGTCAGATGAACATTATCGTCAATAGATTGAGTGAGACCGACTGCCCTTCCTAATGTGGATGAGCCCCTTCCAGTCAGTTGAAGGTCTGAATGGAACAAAAAGGCTGAGTAAGAGGGAACGCCTACTGTCTGACAGCCTGCAAGCTGGGACATGGTTTTCTTTCTGTCCTTCAGACTTGAATTGAAACATTGGTCTTTCCTGGGTCTCAAGTCAGTAACTTTTGCTGTTGTTATTGATGGTTTTTTTGAGATGGGGTATCACTCTGTCGCCCAGGCTAGAGTTCAGTGATCTTGGTGTGATCTTAGCTCACTGCAACCTCTGCCTCCCAGGCTCAAGCAATTCGCCCACCTCAGCCTTCTGAGTAGCTGGGACTACAGGTACGTGCCACCATGCCTAGCTACTTTGTGTGTGTGTGTGTGTGTGTGTGTGTGTGTGTATATTTGTAGTGACGGGTTTCGCCACGTTGCCCAGGCTAGTCTTGAACTCCTGGACTCATATGGTTTGGCTGTGGTCCCACCGAAATCTCATCTTGAATTGTAGTTCCCATAATCCCCACATGTCATGGGAGGAACCAGGTGGAGATAATTGAAGCATGGAGGTGGTTCCCCCATCCTGTTCTCGTGATAGTGAGTTAGTTCTCACGAAATCTGATGTTTTTATAAGGGGCTTCCCCCTTTGCTGGGCACTCATTCTTCACATTCCTGCTGCCATATGAAGAAGGACGTGTTTGCTTCCCCTTCCACCATGATTGTAAATTTCTTGAGGCCTCCCCAGCCATGCAAAACTGTGAGTCAATGAAACCTCTTTTCTTTATAAATTACCCAGTCTCTGATACGTATTAG